AGGAGGAACCTGAACAAAGTTCAGAAGGTCTTTACCTCAATGTCATGTACTCCTTGAACATGCTGCACTGCAGGGCTGTTACTAGCAGGTCAGGCTTCTGTACCAGATTTGGACAGAGCTTCCGTCATGCAGAGAGCCACAAAAGAGATATTCTCTTTGAGACGCTTTAATGCACTGCCTGGTACAGCTTTTACCAGCTGAGGCAAGGTCTGTGACACATGGCACCACCTAATGGCTGAACATTGCAATACAATTTTTGCCTTCCCACTCACTCAGAGCCTGATTCACAAAACCCAGGGAGAGTGCAGTCAGCAGGACTTCTAGTCCCTTCTCCCCCACTCAGCTTCCTTGTCCTGTTTAAATTACCCAGCGCCAGGGCAGGGCAGGAGGCCTCCTTGTTTACATCCAGGCTGTTGGGTTACGTGCTCCAGCCTGTCTCTTAAAGAGGTAGTACACTCTTTCGCAGGGCCTGGAAACAAGCCATTTAGGCTATAGGATGGAGCAGCAGTTTATAGAGATTAAACAGTAGTTTTTATGTAAACACTGAAGCACACATAATCTCTTTTCAAGTGTCTGAAAGTACAGAACTACCCTCTGTCCCATGTGCACTGCAGTGGACAGAGTTGAGGGTATTTTAGCAACCTCAAGAATTCCAGTGCTTTGGGGGATTTGCCTTCACTTTAGATATTTTTTTACGATGAGGCCAAATCCTGTGCAGCTCCCTATTGATCTCCTCACTAATGATTATAACCAAGATCAGTGGATGGTTCTGCTTGAGCAAGGACTACAAGATTTGGCCCATCAGTTTTCCCCCTTCTTTAATATGCAAACTTGTGTGTGTGCCCCTTGAGCAAACTTACTGTAGGGCATAGCCAATGTAAACAGCCCTCAGCCTGTAGCAAAGGAGTTGCTGCTGTCTAAGCTAGGACTCAGATGTATGTCAATAACGGTACCTTGTTTGCTTTCTACTGCGGTTCAACAGATCTCATTCCAGGGCAGTGGGAAGGTCAATCTTCAATTGATGCCTATCTAGTTGGAGTTAATAGATTACCATTAAAGAATGTGACATTGCCTTGCCTTGGCAAACAAGGTCCGGGACCTGTAGAATCATGCGGCAGGCTGAGATTTTTTTCATATTATCGGCTGCATTATCAGCCACTTCTGAAGACGCTGCAGTAAGAATCTCCAGTGTAGAGGTTATAAAATACAGCATTTATGTTTCTGAAACGATGCTTAAAGGGCTACGGTCTCTTCTCATACTGTACAGACGCATGCTCTGGTCTCTTTATTCCTGTGAAATTGAAGGCATAGGAGTTCTAGGGTTTGCGTTTGGGGTGGGGGGAGCACTTCAAGTCCATTTTTACCCTATTGGAAGGAAAGACCAGATGTTCATTGAACCTCGTGAGCCTGGCAACATCTTTCCCCGGCCTGTGTTGTTTTCCAGCTTCTCTCCTTTGAATCAGCAGGCCCCCCTCCTGCCAACTTTGTTAATTCGCTACATTGGGGCATCTGCATTCCTGGCGTCCAAAGTGTGTGTGTGTAAGGCTACATCTGCACCACGAGCTAGAGGTGTGACTCCCCTGCTCGTGTACACACGCTCATGACAGCTCTCATCAAGCTAGTACTAATATAAATATCAGTGTAGCCTTGATAGCACGGGTAGCTGCTGTGGAGGCACGGCTCAGCCAAACCTACCTGAAACTAGTGGGTATGTACTCAGCATGGCTCAGCCATCTCTCTGCTGCATCTATCCATGCTACCGTGGCTACCCATCTAGTTATACTCAGGTAGCATGAGCAGGGGAATCGCACCCCGAGCTCGTGGTGTAGATGTCACTTAAGGCACTGCTTTCAGTTGCCAGCAAGAGCAGAAGGCTGGCTCCTTTCAGTGCTTTTTTTATGCAGTAAACAGCTATAATGATGAGGCCATTAATGGCAACTAACAACTTGAGATGGCTTTTGAAAGCAGCATATTGCCCACAACAGCCCTTTATGGTTCTGTTTGCAGGCAAAGTTGATTAGTTGCTAGGGAACTTCAAATTATCTGTCCGGGGAGATACACGTGAATAGGGTCTCCTTGCCTGTGGCATTTGGTTGGCCTGGTGGCTTTGATAAATGAGACCTGATAAAAGAGGAAAAGTGTCTGCACTGTGAGGTCGTTTTGCTGCTTTATGTAAAGGTGGCCTAAAAGGAAATTTCTGCTTATTTTTTTTCCGTAGGAGTATTGGGTTTTCTTTGTTATATTGTTGGTGTTGGAGGACTCATTGGATGCCTCAGAGGTCTGGCTCAGGGGCTTTCTTAATGCTTAACCATGTATCCTTTCTCCCACCAAATGCAGTACGTTATCAATTGGACCGCCATTTCTCATACCGCCATAGATGGGTGCCTGGGGGAATGTGTGTGCTGTTTTGTAGAACAATGGTGATTACCCTGAAGTGCAGGGGGAGAACTCTTGGTCTGCAAATTGGAACTTGGCTGTGGTATTCCACTATATCTGTGTGAGCCTTGCTCATGTAGTTCAGATCCCCTGTGCACATCTGACAGCAGGTGTGCCGTAAGTGTGTATGACATTGATGGGTCGGACACAGTGTTTGGGTACTATTGTGAGATAGGTGCTGTAGTTAAATGTTCCTATTTTCAGAACTGTGGAGGGCTCAGAGAGCAGGAAGAGGCCTTGGAAGGGTCATTTCTGATAGTCTGACCTAGGATGATCACTTGTTCAGATTAAAATAAATCTGTGGTCCCTCAAGAGGCTCCTGTGAATAATAGCCCCCATCTTTATCCAATGGGACTCTTCTTTCTTGCTCATTAGGAGCCCAAAAGAAAGGGTTTGGCTGGCTTCTCAAGTCAGCCTTCAGTTTTAAATTGAAAACAGCCTTAGAGGGCAAGTGGGGCCATGGACAACACCAGCCCTGGGGGGAAGGGCATGGAGGAGGGCAAGAAACCCAGCCTGTTTTGGGTCACCCCAGCCTCAAGAGCCTCAGGTGCTGGGTTTCTTGCCCTCCTCCATACCCTTCCCCCAGGGCTGGTGCCTTCTCCAGCTGGAAGCCAGTCCCTTTCACACTGCTCCTCTGCCTTGGAGATCTCATGGCCAGTCCTGAGCACAAGAGAAGCCATGGCTTAGTGTCTAACTGCAGCTACTTAGAGCTCTGTAGCTAACAGGTTTCCTTAGTCATGCTTGCAAATTGAAGCCGGGGAACTGATGCAGTAGTTTCAGAAAACTCCAGAAATCAATCCTTGAGACACCTCCTCTCCTAGCATCTGACAATACTTTAAAGTTCCATTTTCTGTAATTTACAAGATTCCCTGCAGTTCTTAAAGTGCTATATGAAATTCAGGCAATGGAAGCATTTGGGCCTATGCTGTGCACTCTCAAGTGAGATTTTAAATTGTCACTGTCAGCTGTTGTTTTGAAATTCATGTTCCTCACCTACTGTATGTACAACATGGCAGGAGAGGAAAATCCGTGTGCTGTGTTTCCGGGGAGCTTTGAATTCAGGGGGAGAGGTTTATGCCAGATTGCAAGTTTACTGATCTGCTGCGTGCTAATCTAACGTCAAGGACTGTATGTGGCACTCTGGGTTTCTTTTGTGTCATAGGCAGGGTCGCTAATTTATCAGCTGAAAAACATGCTTTTAAAATGCTGTAGCCTATTATTACTGTGCTGAGGTATAAAGTGGAAAGCAAAATCTGTACCACTACACTTAGGACATTACTGCTGTCATAGAATCACAGAACTGCAGGACTCAAGGAACCTCGGTGGGTTATCTAGTCCAGTCCTCTGCACTGAGGCAGGACTAAGGATTATCTAGAGACCATCCCTGACAAGTGTTTGTCTAACCTGCTCTTAAAAACCTCCTTTGACTGAAATTCCACAACCTCCTTAGGTAATTTGTTCTAGTGCTTAACTACCCTGAGAGTTAGGAAATTTTTCCTAATGGCCAACCTAAAAGTCCCTTGCTACAATTTAAGCCCATTACTTGTCCTGTCCTCAGTGGATAAGAAGAATAATTTAACACCCTCCTGTTTATAACTACCTTTTATATACTGAAGACTGTTATGTCCCCCCTCAGTCTTCTCTTCTCCTGACTAAACAAACCCCGTTTTTTCAGTCACCCCTTGCACACGTCATGTTTTCTAGACCTTTAATCATTTTTGTTGCTCCTCTTTGGATTTTCTCCCATTTTGTCCACATCTTTCCTGAAGTGGGCTGCCCAGAACTGGACACAGTGCTCCAGTGCTGAGTAAAGTAGAAGAATTACTTCTCGTGCCTTGCTTGCAACACTACTGCTAATGCATCCCAGAATGATGTTTGCTTTTTTTGCAGCAGTATTTCACTATTGACTCATATTTAGTTTGTGATACTTCGTTTGTATAAAGCAGGAAGCAAAATCTGCAACACTACAATTAGATACTGCTACTATAGCGTACCATTCTGACACATCACTAAAGGCATTAGTTATTTTCTAGATACTTTGTGCAGCTGGAAATTGCACAAGAGCTCCTTTGGATATGTGAATTGGTGGGATGCAAATAAATCCAAATTGCTCTGGTTCCTTAGTCTGCTAGCTATGTTTCCTGTTTAATCACCGTACCCGTAATAAATATGTTCATTTCTTCCTTCTGGAAGATAAGCGTCTTCTATGTTTGGTACGGATTCATTGTATTCATTGAAAGTGAGGATTGACAGCCCATCAGAATGATGTCCTCTCTCCACAGAACAAGTACAGCACAGGAGGTTGCCGGGGAGGTGTCCCCCTATACTACCCCACCAGAGTGCCTCTGCTGTACCCTGGCAGCCCCACCTCCTAAAGCTGGGAGGGGAGCTCAGCCACCCATGCCTAGCAAAGAATCATCACTTTTTGTGGGCCATGCTCTGTATCCCGGTACAGTTCCCATAGCCAGCCACCAGTCTTGAGCCTTACTTTTCAATCTGTCCTGACGTTGGCTTAACGTGGGCTTTGGCTCTCATTGTTGAAACCCTCTTTTCTTTCTTCTCAGTTGAACTTTGATTTGGATCGTGGCGTGTTCCCTGTGGTGATCCAAGCCGTAGTGGATGAAGGGGATGGTAAGCTAGATGCTTTTTCATTGATTGGTTGTTTCTCCAAGCTCCTTGTAGGCTTTGTCTGCACTGTGAGCTCGGGGGGCTGAGTTCCCTTCTCACATACACATACACTAGCTCTCTTCAAGCTACCGTGAGCATCAGGGCTGGCTCTGGCTTTTTTGCCACCCCAGGCAAAAAAGCCTCCCCCCCCCCCCAGCAGGGGAATTACACCCTTGGCTTGCAATGTAGAGATAGCCATAGAGGGGCACTACCCCCAAACACGTGCTTCCTGCAGGGTGGGGCTTAATGACTCCATGTGTTTCAAATGTTTCAGGAATATGACTTAAACATCCGTGGGAAAGGGGCCCAGGTAACAGTCAAATCTGCCTTTTACACTCAGATTTCATTTGGAGAGGAAGGATGGTCTTGTGGCTAAGGCACTGGCTAGGTCAGATCTTGGTTCAGTTCCTGGCTGTGCCACAGACTGTGGTGTGACCTGGGGCAAGTCCCTTCATCCCGCTGCACCTCCGTTCCCATCTGTAAAATGGGGATAGTAATATTTGCCCTTTGTGTGGTCAGACTGCAAGTCCTCTGGCTATGTGTATGTGCGGTGTCTAATACAGGCAGGCCCTGATCTGGGTGAAATCTTTAGGTGCTGTTATAATAACATTCATGTTTCCAAGCTGTTCAAATCACTGTTAAATCAAACTGTTTTTACAGTGAAACCTAACTTTGAATGTTGAAAGTCTCTGGATAGTTCAATGGGCAGCTGAATTCTTTCGGCCCTACTTGACAATCAGCCAGAGCAGCTTTTTATTTGTTGATTTTTAATACATTCTCCCATTTAAAAATATTCATTGCTTTTTTTTGACGCAGGGCTGGCTAATAGATATAATGTCTAGACTGCCATTCATGTTGCATGAGATTTGTTTCTCTGCAGGCTGTTTGTGTGGCTACCACTCCTTCTGAATGTCAGCAGTTAATGGGAGACATTTTGGTTACCTTTGCCCTAAATGCAGTCCTTTCCCTATTGAAGTCAATGGGGCCAGGATTTCACCCTAGCTTTTTTTAATAATGTCTTCCAAAGCGGAGACCAACAGATTATTTACAGTAACTCCATTTCCAGCACAAACATTGCAGCGTTGTGCTAGGGCATAAGAACCAGAAACGTGAAACTGTCCAGAAACTGATGGCAAGCAAAACTAGTTGAGAAAAATCCCCAACTATGAACCAACATAAAGTTGAGCAATAAGGCATAATACAGTATGAAGGAAAGGAGTTGTAAAATGTTTGCAGTTGTAATAATCTAAGATGCTGTTAGTAACGCTGGTAAAGAAGTTTGGTTTTTCTTATAATGAAAGACACTTTTACATCTGTCTGGGGAGTGCTTTGACAATATACTTGTATACTGCAGTGGTGCATACATATAAAAATGCCTATCGTGGCCTGATAAATAGAACAAAAAGAGATGGGGAATAAGGAAGCAAGCATACAGCTGTGTGCATACTGCAGTGTCTCTTAGTCAATAGTGCACTCTCATTTGATTTAATAAGCTCTGTAAATCTGTCCTAATAACCTAGACAGGCAATGGCTTTTAAATCCCCTCCTGGGAAAAACATCAACGCACACAGTATATGACACTTCAGAGGGATCTGAGAAAATCTGATGTGCCCTTTTCTTTCCTTTTAATGAATGAAAGAGCTAGTCAGAGGTGTTCTGATTGCCTGGTAAATTATAGGCATGTGCATTAAATAAAATTGAACTGCAAATGAAAAGAGCAATCAGCCAAATGCTTTGTTTGTCCGAAAGCTGCCAGGAGACGCCTCCTTTCTGTGCAGAGCTGAGAGTATAAAGCTACTGGGCTGGAACTGCTCTAAGTTTAAAAGCCTTAATGGAGGGGAGATTTCTGTGCAGTGTGTGACTGTCTAGTTCTGGCTTTGCAAGCTGCCTGAACGAACAAGCATAGTTTCCGTTTAGGTTCTCAGATCTCTAACTTGGCTTTAAAATGGTTTATGAGAGAGCTGAAGTTAATTCCATTGCTCAGACTAGAATTTATACTGGCTTGTTTGCAGAAAAATCTCCTGGAACTTGTTTCCCCCTCACTGATAGCAGGGAGGGATCAGCCCCCCATACACACACTGTTATCTTTGCCAACTATACTTTACCTGCTAAGACTCTCCATGAGAGCTCGGTGTGTCCCCAGTCACTCTTGCAGAGACAGTCCATAGTTTCTCCTCCCACATGTTGCTTTTTTAAGCCAGAATCAAATGAATGGGTCACCTTGTCGTTTATGCCCTTTGGGGCTGCAAAGGAACTACTGAGCTCCCTTCCCTTGGGAAGCTGAGTCGTTTCCTTCTGCTGTTACTAGCCTGGGAGCTGGTCACTCAAAACGTTCCTTGCCTCCCTAGCTCATCGGCATGTGTTTGTGTGAGTAGGATCAAAGGCAGTTATACCCCTTGTCTTGCCTCGTGACTCCTCCAGACTCTCATCCGAGGCTCTGCATGTAGTTGCCGGTTAATCTTCCCAGAACCTCTGAGGTAGGGAAGTGCTATCCCCAATTTTCATAGGAGAAAACTGAGGCATCAAGGGGAAGTGGTCACAGGAATCAGTGTCAGTGCTGGGAGCAAGCTCAGGAATCGTGACTCCTAAAACACGCTGTTTTTGCCTGGCTCCTGAGTGTTGATGGAGCCATGCGTACAGTGCTGGAAGCTTCATCGGTTGCTTTTGAGCTCTCCTGGAAGAATGAGGAGACCTCCAATTGGGAAGGGGCCAAACGTGATATCTGTTTTGGGGAAAGAGGACAGAAGGGGCCAGAGAATGAAACCAAAATGTTTGTGTCCATACTTGATAAACTGCTGGTACAATTAATAAATGCATTGGGAATCCCTAGGACTAGAGTAAAATAAGGCAATAAACATTGAGGATTTGCCAGCTGTAGATAAACCAGCCTGTTGTCTGTCTTTGCGAGGATAACAAGCTTAGGGAGTAAAAGAAACCCAGCAGGCTTTTCGCTCCCACTGCTTTGGTTCACTGGTGTCTGTAATGGAGAAGCCGGATTGTACGGAACAACTGCGAGAGATGCAGCTGGTAAAATGGATCTGAGTGGTCAGTGGTTCACAGGCTGTCTGCGGGGTGGAGGCGCCATTTGGCCCTACAGGGCTGTTCTCTGGGCCCAAGTGTTTACCATTCTCCAGGGGCTAATGTGGAGAAGCCACTAATTGAATTCCTGGACAGTATAAACTGGGAGAGCTCTTGACACTGCAAACGAAGATTAAAATGCAGCATGGGCCAGTTAAAGCGGGAAATGGGATGGAATTTGACTTGTGTGCAGCAGCTGGATTCCCAGTCATAATAACCTGGGCTGTTTCATTCTTCATGCTGAACCACTTCTCCCCAACACGCTCCAAACCATAAGGGGATTGGCCTTACAGAGCAATAGCCATGAAATTCCCCCCCGCCCCCGAAAATGGGGGTGAAAAGCATAGCCCTCATTCTATTCCCTCTGTGTGTGGTGGGCTTGGAGCTGCCGACCTTGTTCAAGGTTTTAACCAATGTTGTTCTCTTTCCAGTGGTGGTTGAAGTTACTGGCCATGCTCATGTCCTCCTGGCTGCATTTGAAAAGGTAAATGAGCCCTGCCATTCTGCTTCCTTTCCTGTGTGAACATAGCCACATGGATGGAAGTGTCCATGGTACAGAATGTCTGTCTTTTGTTCTGTTTGCACAGCTCCTACCTAGCACAGTGGGCTCCTGGTCCAGGACTGGGGCTCCCAGACGCTACCATAATACGTAACATACAGGTGTATTCAGTACATAGAGTTGTGGTGGTCAACCAGCCAATTGTAGGCAACATCTCCTGGCCCCCTGAGGATTGGAATGATTCCAGCATCCAGGATGTTTAAATGCGGTGGTGTTTAGACAAAAGAAAGCTGTCATGGTAGTATGGTCAGAGCCTTAAGATCCGTCTGCAGGACCAGATCTGCTATATGACTCTTTGGTCTGAGACGAAATCCTGTTACAAACTGGTGCTATGTCATATGTGAAGACCAGGGCTCTCACAGTGTTTGGGAACATGGTAATAGTAGCTTATTCCCACCCAGAGGGCAAGCCTAAACCATGGGATATTACAGGGAACTCTGCTGTATGGATAGGTCCTTGTATTGATTGCGTCTCCCCCTCTGGCAGACAGATTCTGATAGCAGTACAGCTACTGCTGCTCCATGCTGCAGCTGTTAAGGCATCTTAGTGGGAATACCTAGAGGTTGTTCAGGGAGTGCAGTGATGCAAGAGGGGCTGGGAGAGCAATCAGAGGGAGCAGCATGTTTGCTTTTCTTGTTCCGAGCCGTGGGGGGCCTCCAATGGGTGGCGAGAGCACAGCTGGGGGTGCCATCTGCCAGCTAGGGAACTGTTAGAACAAGGAAAAGGGCAGCTCTCGCCTCCTCTGGGAATTCCCTCCTGCCCCTTCTCTAAATTCTCCTGGAAGCAGGAAGAGCAAACTTGCTCTCTCCCAGTTTATCTGGCCCTGCCCATACTGTGAATGGGAGAGAGGAGGGCAGGTATTGAAGCCTGCGATAATCAGAGCCAGGCTGTTGCCTGCGGGAGGAAGTCCTCTAGGTGACCCTTTGGGACTATGACGAGATTACGGGAAGGATCAGACTCTTGTTCCATGTGAGACAAAAGTGAGTGATGTTGCATGGTGCCCGGTGAATTAACATCTGTAGCCGGAGCGTTCACCGTTCCCTGCTCCCCAAAGACCCTTCGTTATTCCTCTCGCTGCTGCCTTCGTGCCCTCTTGGCAGTAGCTAGCACCAAATCCACTGCCAGTGTAATTTGTATGCAGGACAGTGGGAGGGATGGGGTTTGTCTCGCCACTATCCGCTTGAGAAGACCGAGCTCACCACTCTCACATAGCGCCCAGCCTCCTGTGGTTACGGAGCTGGAGTCCTGAAATGAACCTGGCTCTGCATTCCTGGCATCATATTCTAGCACCATGTGGCCAGCCTTTATAATAAACCCTTCTTATAGAAATCTGTTCCCCGGGGCCTCCGGCTGATGGAGCAAGTTTTGTCTCCTGAGCTGTGAGAATTGGCACCTCACTGTGACTGATACCGGAAGGTGCAACATTCCATGGTGCATGTTAATTCTGTTAGAAATCATTAGTGCTGCTGTGATAGTTTCCATTTCAATAGCACTTTCTGCCCCAGCGAGTCCAACGCTCTGGATGCACAGTGACACTGACACTCAGCTCACTCTGGGAGAGAGGCAGCAGCTAGTACCCACGCGGCATGTTGCCGCACGGTGGGGAGGAGCAGAAATTTAGCAATGATCTTGTCCCCCAACAAAGTGGCCCATGGGTTGCTTGCTCTCCAAGCAAGGCAGAAAGGATCTCAGGGATTTGAGCCCTCCTGGAATTTTCTCTGCTTCAGAAGATCCAAGGGCTGAACCTGTAATTCCAAGGAATCTGGGTGCTTTTGACCTGATGCATAGAGCACCGAGATCTCCAGCTATTGTAATGTGGAGGTCCATGGGGTTTCGGCTGAAGGGGAAGCATGCCAAGCGCACCTTCTGCCAGGTGGAGATGAGTGGCTCCCTAATATTCAGAGAGCAGAGCAAGGTGGTCAGCAAAACTCAAAAGCACCTAAAGCTGCCTGGGCCATTGCATCAGTGGTGCTGCGCTCAGTCCAGTGCCCAGACCTCTTGAGTGCCCCATGTTTGAGCACAAGGACTGAGAGTGCACCATCATTCCTCTTCACTGCCCAGCTGCTCTGTGCTTGCTAGCCCACCAGCTGGGCATCACCACCCTTGGTGCAGCCTGCTCCTGGATATTGGTGGTTTTCCTGGGCAGTCCTGAGTGCCTCCTGCTAGACTTGGCTGCCAGACTGCTTCAGGGAGCATTGCCCAGCAGCCCCTGCCTTCAGTCCAGCCAGCGTGGAAAGGAGGATGGAGTCCCGGGGTGATAGAGAGTCTGTGATCACTGCATGGGGCTCCCCTCATGCTGTGGAGGGGCTGAGGGCCCAGCTGATCCTAGACTGGGGGTGGGACACACCCATGGCTCCTTCTCCTAAACCATACTTCTCCCCCCCACCCCATCTTCCTGCCCCCATAGCTGGCCCTTGGTTTCCTGTGTCTTGTTGAATGTCATCTTAAAGGCTAAATGCAGACCAGCCCACCCCTATTGGGCCTGGGACAGTCAGGTGGGACACCTTCTTCTTTGGGGAGCCTCCCACGCCCTGACCATGTTATGAGGGGCCAGGTTGCCTCCTTTATTTCCTGGTTTGGTCCCGTGTCCGGGGTTACTGGCGAGCGTGGAGAGTTATTCTTTGCCTGGTGTTTTGGGAGCACGGTGGTGGGGGAGTTGGCATGATCCGTGGCCCTGTGTGAGGTGTTGCAGTGCAGGAGGGTTGAAAGAGGGTCAGGCTGGGGGCAGGTGGACGGGGGGTGGTGCAGTAAAGAGGAGTAGCTGGTTCCCTGTTTGCAGGCTGAGGAGCAGTGTTGCCTGCACCATGCCAGCAGGCGACTTGGTAGTGAGTGGCGCACTGTGGGAGCTGTACAGTTTTAACATTCGGGTGTTTTATTGATGGGGGTTCTTTGTCAGTCCATTCCCTGAGCAATGTGTATGTCCCCAGGGGCAGCCTTGGCCTCCCTCAGACTGCTCATGCAGCAGGCCGGGACTCTCGGTGGCCTTGCATGGAATTCACGTTGCTGGCTGATGCCATTCGGGTCCTGCCCAGCATTGGGCACAGAATGCAGTGGCAATTTCCGGAGCATGCTACCCACTGCTGAGCAAATGGAGGGAGCATGTAGGATCCTTCACCAGAGGGCTAAGCAGCCAGGAATCTAGGCGGGAGACGGGGGAGAGTGTCAAGGGAGCCATGGAATCGGGATATGGTCCCTTGACTTTGCTTGATGGGATTGTGATGCATGTTTGTAACCTGAGAGAGCATCCTGCCGTGATTCTGTCATGGCTCCGAAACTCTGCTCGCAAGGCTGAGCTACCCCACTGCAGTCTGAACAGAGAGCTTGTGAGGTGCAATGACCATTAAGGACTTTGGCATCATGGGCGGCGGGTATCAGAGGCCAGGGGAGGATGAGCCTCCCCAAACAACCCTGCATGGCCCCGCCCACACTCTGCCCCAGATTCCCTCCTGCTTTCCAGCGCTCTGTGGCTCTTCCCCCATGGCCGGGGCCCCAGGCTGGGGCTAGTGGGGGCCAGCCTGCAGCCAGGAACTCCGGGTGGCTGGAGCTGGTGCTCACACTGCCCACCTGGCGTTCCGGGCCTGGGGGCACTCAGGTGGCCTGGGGTGTGTGTGTGGCCTTTGGGCACTGGTGGGAGAAGGGGGCGGGGCCTCAGGTAGACGGGGCAGGCCGGGGGCTAGCCTCCCCGAGCCCACGGTTCACCCACCACCCATGTTTGGCAGGCTAGGGAAGGCAAATCCAAGCATAGGTGGAACATATCAGCAAAATGTCTCTTGCAGCCCCCACACTGCTCATGAAAGGAATACAGGCTTCAAGCAACTAGGAAGCTGCACATTTTCTGCTCTACCAGCCACAGCCTTGTTCCTTCCAGACAACCTCCACCCCACCCATGCCCCTCCCCGACCTTGTTTGCTTAAATCACATTTACTCTCCTTAGAAAGGTCCTGGGCTGTTTGAAGTGCAGGCCATTAATCCAAAGCAGTTTTGTTTGTTAAGGATCCAGTTACTGCCGGAGTCACCAGAGCAAGCGGAGAAGGGTGCTCCAGAACTCGGACATACCAGCAGGCTGCAGTAATTTGCTATTTATGTATTGGTAAAACAAACATGTAACCTCGGCAGTACATGTGTAGTCTGCTGGCCTCGCAGCTCTGTCAAAGGAGTAGACTTGGCAGCTTGGTGTCTGACTGGAAAATGGGGCTCTTGAGTCTTTTTGTGTTTCATGTTAATGATGCAGTTCTTTCCTTTTTATGACTCCTTCAGTGAACAGATGCGTGCTTACATATGTACACACCTATCGATCTGCTAGATGTTTCCCAGGGCTATTAAGCGTCTTGCAGTAAATCTCCTTTCCCGTCCCCAAAATATCTCAATCAGCCGCTTCTTTTCTGGGTTGTAACTGACTAGCTGTCCCTTGAGTGTCCCCAGGAAAATGGAGGAAATGGAAAAAAAGCACAGTGCCTCGGAGTCCCATCTCTAGCATTCTTTGCATGTAAATTTGTAAACTTGTTCCAACTCTAGACATGCCAGCTAGATGAGTTAAATACAGTTCTGCTCTGAAAATGGAATCATGGGGCTCCATGTTAATTGTGTCCATGACTCGAGATCAAATCTACACAGCTGGCAAGTAAAGAGATGGCTTTCCTACCAGCCCTGCACACTTCCCCATGCTGTCTCTGGCTCACTCTTCATCGGCAACGATTTTCCAATGGGATGCTACTGAGATAATTTGGGTGGTGCAAGAGCCAGGCTAGATTCCAGCTCCCCCTCTCAGAGCTGGGCTGGCTTTGGAGCACTCCTAGCAGTAAAACAGAGTAATCACTTGTAGTGTGTAAAGAGATCTGGCTCTGAATACCCCCAGGGAGAAGGCTTATTGAGTAAGGCGGGGCTCTTTTGACACGTCCCTTTTCAGGGTAGAAATGCCCTGTAAG